GGTTGTTGCGCCTTCAGCAGAAAGAATCACCCTCTGAGGCAGGCCGGGGACGACTGCTGAAGGAGAAGGGGTTGCACATCTTCTGGCTGATTGTGCCAATTTCACAGGACCGACGGAGGTCGCTGGGGACATCTCAGTTCAGTGTGTGGTTTGCAGCTTGAAAGGGAAACTCCACTCTTGCATTGAAGTTGTCTTGTACTATTTGATAATTATGAAAACTGAGCTGAGGCGACACTAAAAGCAGGGCCCGACTGATCAATGGGTTGGCCGATTTAATCGGGTGATATTAGCCACAGTATTTTTGCCGATTTTTTTTTTTAATCCCATTACAACATACAACAAAGATAATCACATTCAAACGTCCCCCACCCCCCCCAAAAAAGTACTGAAGGTTAAGTTAGTATTAAATTGTCAAATTACCTGCCTGTTTTTCATGCTTTTATAGTTGTAAGCATTACGAGACCAAAAACAAAGTTGTCGGAATCGGCAGCAACCTGGAAAAAATCCATATCGGTCGGGCCTAAATTAAGTGTGCCTACACTGAAAAAATTGTTTTTGTTGAATTTCCTCAATTTTATTTCGTTCATTGGTTGCATGATATAAACCCATCCGGATCCAGATGCGTTTTGTTTTTTTCTGTCGAATATACAGAAAATTGAGCACAGCGGGGTTTTTTTTCACTGTATGCATCTCAGTTCAGTGTTACATCAGGTGAGCAATACATGTTAATGTCTTCAAATGAACAAATGGTGCTATATCATGTTTTTTGGGATGTCAAACTGTGCATCCAGCCTGGCTGATTGGAAATATACGTGTCCTATGGTCCTACTCTGTGTTACACCTCCTCTGTATTTTTTTTTTTTAGGGTGATTTTCCATACTGTACAATTATTCTTCAGACTTTGCAATGTTATCCCGAACCGAACATAAATGTATTTGTCAGACAAACCGGAAAAAAAAACAAATAAATAAATGCCGTGAATAAAGGCGGAGGGGAAAAGGCTGCATTTGAGTGATCGCCCGCTGACCTGCCAGACAGTTTCGCTCGACAATGACGACCAACCAGAGGACGTCTGCAGTCTTGTGCGTCGCAACTACATTTATTTCAATTAGCCCGTTTCAGTCCTCCGGAGAGACGCACAGGAGGAGGCTGAGTTGAAGGGAGATGAAGAGAAAGGTCATAAATGACAAAGCACGCTGCTCTGACTTGGTCGGTAGATCTCATGACACATTTTTAAAATCAGTAAATATACGATTTTAATCACATTTTCCCCTCTGAATTCCAACCATTCATCTTTCGCTGGTCTACTACACATGCAGTAATTGCCCCCCAACCCCCGCCCCTACATCCTCACTGTTTTATCTGCAGACACAGCACACGCTCACTTTATAGAGGCTTTTCCCTTCATACACGCACTCTCACACATACACACACTAAATCAAGGCACTCAACCCCTTTGGCACACACTTCCAAAAACTAGAAAAAAGAAAAAAAAAACACGTTATCCTGTGCTCCCTTCTGTTCCCTTTGAACTACTTTAACCAGACCAAGCTTGGCAAAAGCAAAGTCCATATTACTCTACAAGATATAAAACGTGTACTTCGGCGTAATCTTAAAGCATCCTGGTGTCAAGCGACTAGGTTGAACTGAGGTTAGGAGCTTCATTTAGTCAACACATAGCCTTGCCCAGCAGAAAAAAAAAAGTTGGGTTCTTTTGCTAGCATATTGTGGCATCCGTTGGCAATTGCAAAACATTTTCGGGAGGGCGTCATTTAACCCTGCATGCACCCTGTAACCTGATAATGTGACAAGCTGTCCCTGAAAGGGTTAATCATGGTTTTTCGCTCTTCACGGCAGCGGGTTCGATGTACATCTGGACTGTGACGCACAGTCCAGTGAGTTCGAAAATATCTGGTTCGATATGAGCAGATCATAGCGCCTGAAACACTTCAAAAATTCAACCTACTGTTTCAGTCAGCATTTGCGTCGCCAATAAATACAAAGGTGCCACTTCGATCAGCAGGCGCTCTCGCCCAGCGCGCCATGGAACAGCTGAGCAGCCAACTGTCCCATTACTTTTGGTTAAAAAGTAGGAGGTACTTCAAAAAAAATGTCATTCCTCCACCCTTCACCTGATTTGGATGAAAATGTCCTCAAATTAAAGCTGAAAGTCTGCAGTTAAAATACACTTTTGTTTGTTTCATTTCAAGTCCACCGTAGTGACCTTTAGAGACAAAAAGATGACCATTGTGTCAATGTCCCTAATATGTATTGATCTGACTGTGCCTTTTCTTGACCCCCCCACCCCGCCACACACACACATATTTGAACACCAAAATCAATTGCGAATTGCTGTCCGCTGCCGAAAAACTGGAGCAGTCTATATTTGGCGTTGTGGAGCTGCTGCTTTCAGGCAGACAACATAATTTAGCTGCTCTGTTGTCTCTGCAGCCTCTGTTCGCTCTCCGTCTCGCATCGAAGGCACGTTGCATTGAGCGCTTCAAACCGTCGATAGCCTCTTTCAGATGTGCATGATCATGATTCAGCTCCTGCCTCGCTTTCTTTCGTTACCGCGTCGTGAGCAATGTGAACGTGAAAGATGGCAGATTAAAAACGGCACATCAGGGCAAAGGGAACATGCTACTGAAAATGGCGTCGGCCAAGTTTTTAAGGACAAAAAAATAAAACCCTTTCAAGGCATCAATTAGGATTTCAACCATTGTAGGAATAAATTGTTCCTGCAATCACCCCCCTGTCCCCCCCAGAAAAACGTTGGTATCGTGTGTGTGTGTTTGTGGGTGAGGGGAGGGGCCAGTGAAGTCTCATTTATTTGCACAATTTCGCCATTGCCCTGTGGTCACTTGTTTTGTTTTTCATATCGAACATGCTCATGCTGTGCATCATGCTTTTACTGGGGGGAGAACAGCTTTACAAAGAATGAAATGATGAAAATCTATTTCTTTCTCAGCCTCCATCCTAAACCCCAGCAGAGAAATAATGCCAATAAAAACGACACAAAAGCCAAGCATTTTTGGAAAAATAAAAACGAACAAAAACAACTCTGCTCTAAAAAAGAATTACAACCAACTGAAATCAGAACAAACGGGAAAGCAAAATTAACTATGATGAAGAATCCAAAACCATTATTATAACCCCAATTTGCACATTCCTATTTTATATTTTTGTCCATTTGAAGCTCATGCGCTGAGTTTGAAAACAAGAAGTTTATCACCAGTTAATCCGTTCAAGTATTTTTTTTCTCTCCTCTTATTTTTATGTAACTACTTAGATGACTGCTTTCGAAAGAGACTCTTACTTGAATCCAATTTTTCGCCGCTACTGACGAGCAAACTTTTATTTTCCACGCGGCTGACGTGTGTGTGCGAGGTCCCGAGCGTACTCAGCCACAGGTCGATTATCCGGGAAAAGGAATCATTTAGACCAGCGAAGGGGACAGACAGCAAAGCTCTGTGTGACAGGAGCATGAAACCGCACTTTATCGCAAGCGCTTCCTCATTAAAAGGAAAAAGGGGGCCTTGCTTCCGAGCTGGATCGGCTGTCTCAAACTCGTATAAGTGTGGGAGATATTAGAGAGAATATTGGAAGAGCAAGCGAGGGAAGAAGCTTATGTGAATGAGTTAGGGCCAATTTAGACATGCACAGCTGTTGATAAATCCTGAGCGGGAAGAGCTAATGAAGAACGTTAGCACTCCTCCCGCACTTGATCAAACACCCTTCATGCACGCCCCTTCTTTCCTCCTCCTCCTCTAATTTCCTCTCCCTCGCTTTTCTGTCCTTCTCAATGGCCGCTCCAACTCAGGATCGATGCCCCCCCCACCATCTCGGTTCAGTTCCTGTGACAGTGAATTGCTCATAAAGCCAGCAAAGCAGAGATAAACGCGTGATAAATAAGGAAAATATTTTTTGAACAAAGATGGTGTCTTGTTTTTCTGTCTTTGCACTCGCAATGGCCAGTGAAACCGATAGTGGCCAGTTATCAAGCAACCACGGCCACGATTGCACCAATAAAAGCCCACTTAGAAAGTAGGCTCCTAAGGGGACAAGGATGTAAAACACATTCATCAAAAGGAGCTCATTATCATGGTGGATCTGTTCAGATGGATCCATAGAAGCACACACACCGATAAAGTACCTGTAAATCTCGTGATGCATCAGAAATATATCGGGAATGAGAAGTAATGTTTTAATACCACTTGGGATTGACTTGCCAAATACTTTCACTTGTTGGTGTGAATGATCCCTGATGGGGCTCTCAATATTTGGGCACTTTCCAAAACCACAGTCCGTTAAATTCCCTAAGAGGAAAAAAAAAACCACGTCTTACCTGAAATTGTGTCTGCAAATAGTTTTCTGACATCCCTGTGGTGGACTCTTCTGATTTCCTGTAATTTCAAAACAACAGCAAATACGTTAAGAGAGGAAAAATGAAACAGTTACAAATCGCTGACAGAGTAAAAATGAAGACAAAATCACAACAAGGTGCAATTGTCGTGCACCGCCAGAGGCTCGGAGATAAAAAAAAGACCTCACATTCAAGCACAAACCCCCAATAAATAGTTAAAACTAAGGATTTTTTGGCAGCCTGGGGAACCTCACTTTCCACCATTAATACCGCATTATTTAAAAGAAAAAAAGTATTATTCTTATCATGAGTTAAAAATCGCATGGGGGAAAAAACCTCACATTCGTCTCCTCGTATCCAGCTCGACGGTGGGCCGCTGACTGAGAAGTCTGACATTTCCATTTCCTCCGGCGACGCTATGAAACGGGGGGCCTTTAGTAAAACTGTCGTCTTTCCTCCTCAGTCTTCAAAGACGCATCAGACAATCACTTCTTGCCGACTCCCAAACGGGGCGCGTGTGCTGCGCCCGTCGAAGAAAGAGTGGCAAAGTGCTGATTGAATGCTTTTGTTTGCCGATCAAACCGCCATCCACTGTCGCGGCTTCAATCGGAATTCTATTCGGGCGGCGGGTACTTTCTTTATTTAAGCCTGTGTTAACACCGACGCATGTAGAATATGTCACGGCTAGGTTAACAAACGTATTCGTGGGAGAGGTGTTACCCGCGTGTCGTTAAGGCATCGGTATTTTAATGACAGAGAAGAGGTTCGAGGTGAGCGCTTTGAGACGGGGGAGGTTGAGCGTCGCGACTCATGAATAGTGATTGAGTGAATGGCCGACAGCTGCTCATTAACGCCAGCCAGCACACAAAACAAACGAACCCGCGCACCTGTTCAAATGTGGCTTCTTGCTCCTATTCGGCACCCGTAGGTCAAGTTGCCTTCTCCCCCGCCGGATAGCGTTGTTAGCACGGCGTGGCTAGCACCTGCGAAGACCACGCTCTCGCGAGATCACCTGCGAAGACGACGCCCCCGCGGAGCTGACGCCGACGTCTCGGAAATGAACAGAAAAAGACGAAGCCTCTAGTAGCGCTGTGACATTCTCGAAGATTTACGGGCCTTTTTTTGTTTTTTGTCTAGCTCAACCTCACTGAGACAACCTTGAAATAAAGTTTCAGATACATATCGAGTGCGGCGTGACGTCAATAGTAAGGAGATGTCGGTCGATTGTGCGTTTCCCAAACCGCCGCCCCCGATTAAAAAGGAAGCTTTACGCAATCAGGATTCAGACTCTGTCGATCACCGATCCGATCAGATGATGAAACAATATATCCAATATAAACAACTTGTTTATATACAGCACAATCGATCCCTATTCGTGGGGCATTGGGACCAGGCCAACTCACGAATAGCCAAAATGTGTGTATAATTGATGTCCACTGGAAGGCATTTCAAGAATAATAATAATTACACTCTAAAAATTCTCCCCACAATACTGATAAGCATTCAATACACAGAAAAACGGGGACGGGGGAGGAGGGTGAAAACCCCAACAAATTAACCCATCCATCCATCCTGTGCAAGATTCGCTCTTACGCGGGGGACTCAATAACCCAACTGGTACATTGATTTAGCCTCTGTAGCTGGGAGACCTAAAAGTAATCAGAATTCTCTCTTTAAATAAATAAAAATACAGTCATGTGCTGTGCATAGCATAGATTCGGCTCACTCGCTCGCTTTTACTGCTTCTCCTTCGTAGCCTGGGAACCGCCTTTTTAATTACACTCAACCGCCAGCCGCTTCCATCACAGTTACCCCAGAAGCCTGAGAGACACACGAGAGAAGCTGATTATATATTCTGAGCACATACATGGGCCGCATGTAAGGTACTTCAGACGGCTTGGTGCGAGTGGTACGAACCCACTCCCTGCCATCTCTACTTTCATATCGGATCCGCAATTAATAGTCTCTCCCACTCTCATTCACTGTACCGCATCAATACGTCCTCACAAGCCGAGAGCAAACAGCATGCCAATACTCCACGACATTTCTGTTCTTATTCTATTCTCGTGCCTCAAGCCATCCATTGGCATATACAGGTGTGCTGGTCATGCATGACAACAACATGTCTCCATGGTAACAGAGGAGCTGGTAGCAAAAGGGGCGAGTTGTTTGGGCATGCCGCGGGTCTGACCATCAATCGATGCTTGACGCTGTCACTGCAGTGGGACAGTTTATCATGTTATCAGGTTACAGGGTGCATGAAAGGGTTCAACATTGTCTACAGTTGTGCTGGTGACCAATTTGGCCCTGGGTCAGATCATTTTAACTAACTCTGTTTGAAAATACAAAAAGGTGGGAGGTGAATTAGCATCCAAGAAAGTGTATGCTCAATCATCCACTGTAAAATTGCTTTCATCCCCCCCCCCCCCTCCGCCCCACACACCCCTCTCAAAATGTAATCTGCTGTCATCATAAACTAAAACTCTTCCACTCACTATCACGCAGCTAATCAATAACATGCAGGGATGAAATCCATCACAAAATCAATTGATATATTTCATAATCAGAGAGGGCGGTTTGTGGGGAATTTAGTATGTGTGTGTGGCCTGAAGTGACATGTGGATAAATCTCCACACTCTGCTCCGTCCGTGTCGCTCCATTGCCGCTACCTCTGTCCAGATAACTGGCCATCTGTCACACTTTTGGCCCTCAAATCACCACGTATTGGCTAGGACCCGACTGCGGGGATCAGGCCTAAAAACAAATAAGAAGTCTGTGACCATGAACCGCTTGCCCACTGCTCCTGAACGCCAATGGGAGGCTCATATTTTGATAAATCATGAAACTTCACCTCTTCTGAAAGACGCCAACTCTACCTTTCATGCTGCCGTATTCTTGCAATATTTTGTTGTGTATGGTGCATTCCATTGAATCGCACAGTCCTTGATAGTGCAATACAACAAAAATAAAGCAAAACCACTTACAATGGAAACTAAGAAGCAAATGAAAGCGTTTGGAGGTCGATACAGTTAAACAGTGGAGCTTCATTGTTAACACGCCATACGCCGCATAGATCACGTTGCTCCCTCAAAATGTTCCACTGCCGGCACGCCATCAAAAGCCAAAAGAAAAATAAAACGACACAGAGTTGAAATCGCTGACACCACGCGTGATCAAACAAAACAAAACAAAAAGTATCTAGAAAGCTCCAGCTCACTTGCGACCCCAACGAAGAAAAGCAACGCGGCAATTGGAATGCATAGTGGAAGCCAGTTTGAACGTCTTCACTTCAACCTTTCCTGCCAGTCCAACCGTCCTGCCAGCAAGAGAAGGGGGGGGGGGCAGTCCAAGCAAATCAGACATTCAGTGAGTCACTGTTGTCTCAGGAGGCACAAAAGGATATTAGCAGACAGGACAGGTCTTCAGATCTAATAAGGGGGACTTGAACAGAGGGACTAGACATATTGAAGTTGTTTTCATGCGGGGAATTCTGACCTGGTCTTACCTTGAGCCCAGCTTTTGCTCTTCTGCTTGCCCTTAACCCTTTCACGCACCCTGTAACCAGATAACATGATAAGATGTCCACTATAGTAACCGCTGTCCTTGAAAGGGTTAAAGGCCATATGCTATAGAAAAGTGACTTTTGATTGTTTACATGCAAATAGTTGGCTCCGTTTGTCGCTTTGGATTGTGAGCCTTTTGAAACATCTCGATACAAACGAACAATGGAGGTGAATTGAAGAGTTACGCTTTGACAAAAGTAGTGCTGCGCCGCCAGCTTGAGGCACATTAGTGTCGAGGAACAATGGTGAAGGGAGTTGGGGAGCTCCATTTTGACAAAAGTAGACATTTTATGACAATTTGGGGCATATACAGGCAATGCCAAACCTTTACATGTTCATTTTTGTGTGATTTTATCCACATTCTTTTGTGATCTGTCTAATGTCCACTCTGGGATGGCATTGAAATGATTGATGGGGGGAAAAACACACAAAGAATCATTGTTTTTCATGTGGTCGAATAAGTGTCACTGAAATAAGGGACAGAACTGTGCCACTGTCAATCTTATACCCTGCCAAGTAATTCCATCTGTTCACAAACTGAGAGGCACATGTGCAGTCCATCTATAAGAAAAAGCCGGCGCACACCAAGTAGTGTAAATAACAGTTAGTGTGTCTTGTGGAGTGGTGCTACAAGTCCTATATCTCTATATCAGGAACTCAAAATCTAGGGGGGTGGAGGCTTGGAGTTGGGGGGGGGGGGTAGTAATTTGCGTCGTCACGCAAAGACATGCTTGACTCCACGGAATAATTGCACTGCAGCTCTTGAAAGAGATGTTTTCCCTGCTAGCTAATGAAGGTCTTCCAGCGTGTGTCTTCACAGATCTGGTTGGGTGATGGTACATATACATACTGTACGTATCGTGAATAGTGTATGCGAGAGTTCCATGCGGATGCACATACAATTACTGTATGAGTGTGATAAAAGGATGTGCGTTAACTTTTGATGGTGCCCTTTAAAAGTCAAGAAAATAAAACATGGATATGATATTCCGGATATAAATGGTGGTTCACATCGCGGACATTTTGTGCGGAATTTTATAACATGGCTGAATTTCAACATCAATCAATACATAGAGTAAACTGGAAGTAGTAGTAGGTACAGTGCATGGGTGTCGAATCAGAAAAGCTAGCCACCTTAGCTTAGCACGCTAAGTTCATTAGCATTTTCGTTAACAGTGTAGCATCCTTTTCTGGATTACAGTATACAACTACTAATATTTTTGTAGAGTGTATATTTGGAGAGTTAATGTTACTAAGGTTTCTGATTTCGATCTAAAGTTCCAATTAAGGAAAGATAAAAAAAGCACCAGTTATCGATCCTTAGACTACAGCTGCTTTGGACACTCACAGTGTAATATTAGGCTTCTGGCTTTGACATCCATGAAACTAAGTTTGCTAAAGCTGTGTGACCAGTAGAATGCTGACAAGAAACTTTATTTAGCACACAGAGTCCAATTCGTGTCCTGTCGTGTCGCTTTGACTTCATGAGAATAATGCAAAAGCAGAACCTGGAAAATAAAAGAGCCTTTTTGTCGTAGGGCCTCACAAGTGAATCAGAAAAACTAGCCACCTTAGCTTAGCAGGCTAAGTTCGTTCGCATTTTGTTAACAGTGTAGCATCCTTTTATGGATTATACAACTACTGTACATTACTTAAGTTGACCGAAACGCGAGCCTGTCGATTTTTGAGGGATTCAATTGACTTTTGGCTAACATTTTTGGAGAGAGTATAAATCAATATTACGAAGGTTTCTGATTTCCTCTATCTAAAGTTCCAAATAAGGAAAGATAAAAACAGCCCCAGTTATCGATCCTTAGACTACAGCTGCTTTGGACACTCGTAGCGTAATATTAGGCTTCTGGCTTTGACAAAGACTAAGCATCCATGAAACTAGGTTTGCTAAAGCCGTGTGAGCAGTAGAGTGGGGACAAGAAACTTTATTTTGCACACAGAGTCCAATTTGTGTCCTGTCGTGCCGCTTTGACTTCACGAGAATAATGCAAAAGCAGAACCTGGAAAATAAAAGAGCCTTTTCGTCCACTCACACTAACGCCTGACAAGTGCTGAGTCGGCACTGCCTTCCGGCCAGGTCTGTGCTTACTCGCGAGTGCTGTTTGGGAGATATTGGTCAGCGCAGAGGCAAACGAGAGCATTTAATCATCCGCAGGAGGGCTACAAACTAAAAGGACAAATAATCTCTGGAGTGTTTTATGAATCGCCGTACTTTTAAAAGGATTT